AGGGTAGAGAGTGGAGTGTGAGGTTCTGAGAGTGGCGAGACACTGGAACAAACTCTGTAACGATTTCAGGTTAATTGGCTCATCATCAGTGTGTATTCCAATTGTTATCCTCGTAGGTTCTTCCTTGTGATTGGTTGTTGGGAGTATCGTCAGAGAGTGAGAAACACTGTGTGTCCTCTCCCCATTTGTGCATGGCTGTGCTTCCGCTATCTACTTTGATCTGTGTGCAGTTTGGACTCTGTCCCGTCTCCCACTTCTCTTATGCATGTATGGGCGTGTATGTGACTGTCTGTGTGTGAGTGGCGGTAAAAGTCGTCAGACAACCAAGTTCATAACAGTTGGTATCGGAGCGGGATTGGAATTGGAGCACTGAGGGTTGCGCGCAATTGGGGCATCTTCTTCATCTGGCGACATACTGGCGAGAGCTTCATGGCGATTCATCTTCCCCACTGAGTCAACAGGGAAGAAGATTTCAAGCGGCGAAATCCGGAGTTCAGTGCTTGCACTGAGCAAGCGCACTGAGCCTGTCAGGGCGCTTGTCAGGAAGTGGCGAGAACAGGGCTAATTCGCCATAGCCAACCCTGAGGGCAGTGTTGGGAATTGCCTCAGAGTGGCGAATTACCCCTGAGGACTTCAGGGATCGCGGAGCGGCTTCATCCCTGAGTGGCGCTGAGGGAGATTGACAACCTGTGTCAATCTTAGGAGGAAATAACCCCATTTGGGGCTATTTATAGCATCAGCGGATCTCAGGTTTTGTGGCGAGATTTTATCAGTTGGCGTTTTGGGGTGCCACAGGGTCAGATTCAGTGAATCTGACTAAAGGGAGTGAAGCGCTTTAGGATCCTGAAGAGGATCAACAAGATTGAAGAAGTTTTGTGCGTGGAACAGGGAGGAGAAATTTCTGGAAGAAATTGGCGAGATGAGAGTTTCAGTCTGCCATAGCCAGATCTTCATCAACCTCTGCAAGATACTCGGAAAGTGAGTCCGTTCCATGCACCTACCTGTATAGCGATTCAGATAGGATTAGATTAGTCAGTAATTATGGTCTATCTGTCTGTCAGTGACTGGATGTGAAAATCGCAGACTGCATGACAGCCATAGCCATCCCTCCCCTACCTTTCTCTGCTCATTCCTCACCCTCTGTTGACTCTTTTGCATCCAAAATTGCTTTATGACTGCCTTACAGTATTGCGCTGGATTTGTGATGCTCAGACTCAGAATCCTGTACTGGAAAAGTAGTGATACAGTGAACTGTAGTTTTGCGCTGAATCTATTTATAACCTGTGCTAATTAGGGTCAGTCATAACTCCAATTCTGACCGTCAGAATTTCGTTCTGCCAGTTCCTAGTGAATGGCAATCCAAAAATAGGCAATCCTATAGAAGCGCTTGATTGGATTTCCAGTATATCACTGGAAACAGTGAATACTGTATTTTGCCATACCCTAGGGTATGGCCACCAGAGTCATCAGGGATGGAAATTGAATTTGAGCTAGGATTCAGGGTTTCTGACTGGATCGCTCTGCTTGTTTGATCCTTTTTGTCTGTGCTTGCCCTTTTCTTTCATTCTCACTAATTACTCTTGTTTTCTAGTGGGCTCTGGAAATCTAGTGTTCCTCTGGAAGAGTGGTGGACTGTTTCTACTAACTCCAGTATGGTGCAGGGTCGGTAAAAGGAAATCTTGTGAATGATTTAACTGGACTAACTGTCTGTCTGACACCTGACCCCAGAGAAACAGTTCCGACCCAAACCGTTTGTGCTTATTCACCCACCTGACTTTTGTGCATGAGACAACAACGATTTGGAGCGCCTGAAGGGATCTGTACATCGCTGCATACTCTCGGCTGTTTGTTTATTTTTGTGTGTTGACAGCAGAAAATGGCTAACCAAGTCGCTCAGCAGCAGCCACACGTAGAGGTAGTGATGAAGGTAGAAGGTGAACAGCCTGCTACCTCCACTCCTACTCCTCCTCTGACTGCTACTTAGCGAAGGAAGAAGAAGATTCAGGAAAGATTGCAGCAGGAACAGGCCCTGCTTGATGAGTTGGAGAGACAGGAGGCAGCTGAGCTAGAGGCTGCAACAGATGCTTCACGAAAGGAGTATCTGTTGGAGCAGCTAGGCAAGGCTGTGTCTGATGAGCGCTGTGCACAGGTGACTAGGAATCTGGCGGAATGGGCCATTCTGGAACACAAATCCACCAGTTCCTACTTCACTAACTGGGATGACCGTATAGGTCGTCTGGAGCGTGGGGTGGATGATCAGGCAGCTCAACAGTCTAAGATCCTGACAGTAATCCGGGATCTGGCTGCTCAGCTGACAACAGCCAAACTGATCGATCCCCTGTCTCCTGTCCCCTCAGTAAAACCTAAACCTTCCTCTTCTCCCTCTTCAACCCCCTCTGGTTCACGCCATTCTTCCCCTTCACCACCTCCTTCCCAAAAGCCACATCCCAGCCATCTTATGCATCTGTTGCTGCAGTAGACCAAAGAGGTCCCACGATCCCAGCTCCCAACAAGTTTAGGGGGGATGACCCAAAGTCTGATGTTGGGGACTGGGCTGCTGGGACCAAGGCCTACTTGAGGGGCTTTGTCTGTGCAAAACGGACTAAGCTGGCCACGATCCTGGGACTGCTGGAGGGACCCGCCTTGAAGTGGGCCACCTCAACTTCCAGCAGTCTGCAGCAGTCCATGGAGGACTGGGCTTTTCGGCTGGGGGTGGACAGACTTCTGCAGACCTTAGAGGACTGCTTTGCAGACAAGGAGCGGGCCCGCGAAGCTGCTGACAAGATTGCTCGCTTGGGGCAGCAGCGCTACAGCGGTACCCTGCAATCCTTGTTTGCAGAGTTCGAGCAACTTACCTCTACCCCTGGGTTGGTCATGTCCACTGATGATCTGCTGACCAACTTCTGCAAGGCAGCGCCTGAGAAGTTTGTTGTGGCCTTGTATAGCGCTGGGCACAAGGACTGGAGATCCTTTGGCCGCGAAGCCCTGGACATGGAGGCAAAACTTCATGTCCAGGCCCCCTCCTCTGACAGGAGGAAATGTGCCTTCCCTCGTGGTGGTAGAAAGGGAAAGGCAACCTTTACACATGCAGGATCTGCGTCAGCTTCTGATTCAGATTCCCCGGCTGATACACCATCAGCTGGGACTGGATCCGTTGCTGAAACAGATGTTGCAGCGGCCCTGACTCAGGCTGTTCTGGGAGTTCTGTAGCAGCAGAAGAAGTTTTCTCCCACCACAACCTCAGCCAGTGCAAAGGGGAAGGACAAGGGACGTCGGCCTTCCTCCTCCCAGAGCCCTAATCTACCCAAAGACGTCCATATGCCAGCTGACCCACTCAATCCCTCCACTCTCCCCTGGCATGACCTCAAGATCCAGGAGTGTGGAGAAGAAGAAAGGAACGAGGGGTCTGCCTTAGGTGTGAGGGACAACACTTTCTAAAGGACTGCCCTTAAATGCCAGGCCCAGGACAGTCAAAAAACTGAAACAGACCCTGGGGACTGCAGTTCCCCCCAGTGCTGCACACGAGAAGATTAACAACAGTCGTATTTTTCAACACCACTTCAGGACACCCTTCACCACTTCAGGATGCAGCTTGCCTAAACAGGTGGTTTTCAGGGTCTTCGGACCTTTCACCACTTCAGGACCATTCAGGTCTAAAAATCCTGAATGGTCCTGAAGTGGTGAAAGCTTCGAAGACCCCGAAAACCACCTGTTTAGGCAGGCTGCATCCTCAAGTTGTGAAGGGTGGTTTTCATGGTCTTCGGACCTTTCACCACTTCAGGACCATTCAGGATTTTCAGACTGCCCAAAACTCTCACTTGACCACTTCAGGACACCCTTCACCACTTCAGGATACAGCCTGCCTAAACAGGTGGTTTTCACGGTCTTCGGACCTTTCACCACTTCAGGACCATCCAGGATTTTCAGACTGCCCAAAAGTCTCAGTTCAGAATTTTAATTCCTGAATATTCAGCTACCCGATAACCGCTTGTGTGTTGCACCTTCAGCTGCTCAGGTAGGTGAACCTGCAGCTATTTCAGTTGAGACTGTATGTAACGATGTTTGTTTGGGGACTGCGCAGGCAGCATCCTTCTGTTATGAGGATCCTGACCCGGATCAGGACCCGGGGCAGGATGAGCTTCAGTCACTTGCTGCTTTCTTCCTTCACCTGAAGGAACAAAAGAAAAGCAAGTTTGATCTCATTCTACTTCGGCCCCTGATAAACCACATCAGGATCAAAGGGTTGCTGGACTGTGGAGCCACCAGGAACTTTATATCTCCCAGTGCTGTTAAGAAACTGCATCTGGGGATGAAAGTTCAGCAGCTGCAGCAACCTTTGCTGGTCAGAATAGGTGACTCCACAGTGCTCACCATCAGGGAGAAGGTCCGGGGTATCCCTGTTACCTTCGACAGCGCTGGAGAAGTCAGACATAGTCTAAACTTCTACATATTCCCTGACCTACCCTTTGACCTGGTGTTCTCTATGCAGTGGTTGAAGGCAGTCAAACCAAGGATCGACTGACAGATCCCAAAGGTTGAACTACCTAACAGACAGGGGTGTACCAGCCATGCATGATTGTTGCTGATCATCGCCCTAATACTTCTTGCTACTTCCTAAGAGTGAGGGAGTTTTATTTTCTCTCGCGCTTGTACGACCATGAGCCTTTGTTCATAGCTCTGGTCAAGAAAACTGACGCTCCCCCTGTTTCCTGTCCTCCTGAGATACAGCAGGTTGTGGATCAGTATGCTGATCTGATGCAGGAGCCCTTTGGACTACCCAACCGGCCAACCAAGCATCGAATCGAGCTACTACCTGCAGCAGTCCCTCCTAAGGGACGAGTTTACAGGATGTCCCCTGCACCCTTACCAGCAAGGGCTGGATTAGGCCCAACACTTCTGAATTCGGTGCACCAGTTCTCTTTGTGCCCAAAGGGAATGGTGAGTTCAGAATGTGTATTGATTATAGGGGTGTCAATAAGATCACTAGGAAGAGTACAGAGCCACTTCCACAGTGTTCAACAAAGTCGACCTCAAATCTGGCTACCACCAGATTGAGATGGCAGAGGAGGATGTCTATAAGACAGCCTTCAAGACCAGGTATGGTACTTACGAGTTCCTGGTCATGCCATTTGGACTTTGCAATGCCCCAGGTACCTTCCAGACAGAGATGCACCGCATCTTCAGGCCTTACCTGGACAAGTTCATGGTTGTCTACCTGGATGACATCCTGGTATTCAGCAGAACTGCCAGGGAACATGTGGAGAACTTGGCTTTGGTCCTTCAGTCGTTACGCGACAACCAGTATAAGATCAACAGGGAGAAGTCCTCCTTTGGAGTTCCCTCTGTCATCTATCTGGGTCATGTAATCTCTGGAGATGGCCTGACTCCTGAAGCAGCCAAGATAGTTGCTATTCAGGCGTGGCCACAGCCATAGAGAGTGAGGGATGTCAGGTCCTTCATGGGTTTAGCCTCATACTACAGAAAGTTTGTCAGGAACTTTTCTGCAGTGGCTTCACCCCTGACCAACCTAACAGAGAAAGACACTCAATTTCTTTGGTCCCTTCCCTGTCAGTTGGCCTTCACACGACTCAAGAAGGCCTTGACTCGTGCACCTGTGCTGAAGCTACCTGACCCCACTCTGCCATTCATCCTAACCACTGACGCTAGTCAGTATGGCATTGGGGCAGTTCTTCAACAGGATGATGGGAATGGTCTACGGCCTGTAGAATTCACGAATAAGAAGATCAAGACTCAAAAGCTTCACGACTCCACCTACGAGAAAGAGTTGTATGCTCTTGTTTGTGCCTTGAAACATTGGAAACAATTTCTCCTGGGAAGACACTTCAAGATCTTCTCAGATCACTCCACCTTATAGTGGATGAAGTCCCAGGGAGAGTTGAATGATAAGCTGGCACGATACATTCAGTTCATAGACATGTTTGACTTTGAACTTAAACATAAGAAGGGCTGCTACAACAAAGTAGCAGATGCCCTCTCTTGTAGGCCTGACTCTTTTGCTATGATCTCCTCTACTCACTCCTTTGGAGAGGAGACCCGTCAGACCATTGCTCGTCTTTTGCTTCAGGACTCGACTTTTGGGCCCATAGTGAGGAATCTACAAGCGGATCCCAATGCTGAGTCGGGCTATGCCCTGAGTTCAGACTTGTTGTATACCTACAGCAGAGGTGAGGAGCGCTTGTGCATTCCCCAGGATCAGCGGCTCAGGACACTGCTGATGTCAGAGTATCATGATGCTCGCGGACACTTTGGGTTCGTAAAGTCGTATGCAGCCCTGTCGCAACGCTTCTTCTGGAAGGAGATGCGGAGTGAGATGCTGCGCTATGTGGAAACCTGCGAGCTCTGCCAAAGGAATAAGGTTCAGCGTAGGCGTCCTCTGCTCAAACCCTTACCCATACCTGATGGCCTTGCTGAATCTGTGTCGATACACTTCACAGATTTAGGCAAGACCACCCCTCGTGGCATGCGTCAGGTCATGGTCTGCGTGGACAGGTTCTCCAAATACGCAGAGTTCATCCCCTTGCCAGAAGTGGCCAGAGTTCCGGCTGTGAGAGCCGCCTTTTCAGAGAGGTGGGTCACACACCATGGACCGCCCACTTCTATAGTCAGTGATAGAGACCCCCGGTTTTGCAGTGATGAGTGGCAGTCCTACTGTAAGGACTATCTGCACTCACGATTGGACATGACTGTTGGTCGTCATCCTGAAGCCAATGGTCAGGCTGAAGTGATGAACCAAGTCTTATTCCAATTCCTACGTCTTGTCATCTCTCCAGATCAGCAAGCCTGGGATCTTCACTTGGCTCGAGCACAACTTGTTTATAACATGCTTGTCCATTCCTCGACTAGGTTCAATCCATACCGGTTGCACTGGGGACGTGAGCCACAACAGCCTCTCGATGATATCATCGATAAGGCTAAGTCAGACCTGTCACCAGGCACTGCAGAGTTCACCAGACGCTACCGCATAGATATGGAAAGAGCACGGGCGAACTTGTTCAAAGCCCAAAAGGCAATGATTGAACAAGCTAATCGCCACAGGCGGCCTTCCCCCATCCGCACTAGTGATTATGTCTGGGTAGCCAGCTCTGAGTTATCGAGGGAGGAGGATATCTCCCCCAAGTTGTTGCCTCGTTATTTGGGTCCATGGCAGGTCTTAGATACAGTGGGCGATGATCCATTCGGTCCATCCTATGTCATCGTCGTCCCACTGCATGTACGAACCTACCCGGTCTTCCATCCATCTAAGCTGCTTCCATTCACTCCAGCTGATGCATTCCCAGACCGGCCCCCTCAATTTGGTCCACCAATCCCTGGCAAGGGATATGACGTGGAGTGGATTGAGGATGAGTGGGGCACAGACCCCGATTGACAATATCTTGTGAGGTTCGCGTTCCAGCCTCCTTCTAAGAACAGATGGTTCTACAGAAGGGAACTTCTCAAGACAGCAACGTCTGTTGTGTTAAGATATGAAGCGGCTTAGAAGGGCAACCTTCCTCGCCGTTCACCTCGTCTGCATCCCTAGCTCGGAGGTCCTCGCTCCTCGGGGGGGTACGCCTGCAATGACTTGCTGATTTCGACTGCCGAGACTGACTGCGAGGTTGTACAGTGTATCGTTGTGTGTGCTGTGTGCTTGCTGTGTTTTTTCGTTTGCCCTGAGGGCCGCCCGCTGTTCTAAAAATAGTTTAGACTAACAGCAGTAGGGGCTGAGTGGTTACCGGCCCTAAGTGGCCCTGAGCCCTAAGTGCAGCGGTAGGACCGATTTCGTWGAGGCCGAGTAGGCCCTTACTGAAACGGTACCGGTAGGCCCTAGGCTAGGATAGAGTAGAATCTACAAGTAGTTTGGGGTAGGACTGCTTGGGATAGAGCGAACTCAGTGTGGACTACATAGATGGATAGGTCCTCTTGTTTGAAACCGACTGCACTGACATACCGGTGCTGGAAAGCATCTTTGGAAGCAATCAGATTGAGACTGGTCAGGACAGTCTCCTAAACTTAGAATGACTGGACTGTACTCATATGCTGAAGTGGGAGTAGGGACTGGTCTGTGCCTTCTGGTAAAGGCACCGTCTGATTAATGATGAAACTCTGTGCTGGATGGCAACAATCGAGTGCTTGTTCAATTCAGACTAAGATTGAATGTTGATGAGATGACAGGTTACTGGGTACGGACTGAATCTGAATACTGCTGAAATGACAGTTTCACCTAGCACTGACTGAAACTGAATACTGCTGAATTGTTGATTGAATACTGATTGAATGCTGGTGTTGATCAAGTGTTAATTAAATTTTGATTTAAATCCTGATCAAATCTTGATTAAACCCTGAGAAGTCACATCACCGAACACTATTCACTTGGAAAGTTTGCGGGTTGCTGAAGGGTTTTCGTTAGCTGGAGTGCTGGCAGAAATCTCATGAGAAGAGCCTAGGCATTTTCCGTGTTTACCCGAGCGTCGACCTAGCCTGCTGCACCAACTCTAGAGATGAGCCGGTGCCAAGCAACTTGCCATTCTGGTCATGGAAATAAAGCACGTACTCAATGAAAATTTCTTCCTTAACCCTTCGGACTGCACTCTCTCTCAAGGCCATTTTCTGACATTCCATACTCTGAATAGCCTCGTCCTCCCAATTTTCACGTTTTCTCAAAATGACCTCACTCTTCACCACTAAGATTTCACCTCCGTTCATGATTCCCCTCGCCCCTTTTAGGATTCTGGTTATGGACACAAAGGACTGCCAATAGTCCCAGGCAGGCTTCACAGGGAAAGAAGGGGACTGGGTTCCAGACTCTGAGTCACTGATGTTTCTGTTTAGGCCGACTGCCAGTCTGACTGCTCATAATCCAGCATAGACTATATTCCGCTACTGATCGAATGCTAGAATGGGATTTGTTCTACAGGGCTGCAGTTGGCTCAGGGAAGTTTGGCAGAGAGGGGCAGGAACTGGCTTACGGGTTTGTTCGATAACTGAACGTGCCCAGTGACGATAAGCTCTAGTTGAAAACCGCTGAAGGTTTTCCAAAAGTCGGATAAGCGCCAGATGTCCTGGTAACTATGGCCCACTGTTAGCCGAGATCAAGGGCCAATTCTGGCCGTTTGGCTGGCATTCACTACCAATCTCTTTTAACACAACCCATAGGACGAGAGTCAATGTCCCCAAAGTTTTGAACTTGCCAGCTCGGTTATCTTCAAGGGCAGCCCGTGTTGTGCATTGTTCTCATTGCAATCATGGTAGCAGAGCACGTGTTCGACATATGCCTTCTTTCCGGTCTTGTTAATTGCACTCTCTCAAGGGACCGATTTGCCAGACAACAGATCTCGTATCGCCTCTGCCTCCCAATCTCACACTTGCAACTGTCAATATTACATTTGGTCACCAATACCTCCGAGTCCCTCATTCACGACGGACTTGCGAGTAACTGGGAAGGAAAAAGGGGTGGGTTGTCTTGTGCAATGACAAGCATATCAGGAGACCTGCCCAGCGACTATTGAATCTTGATCCCATTTACAGTTTCATATTGTCCCAAGCTGCTAAATAAAATTGAGTTTCCTTATAACGAGTTATCTGTCCAAGCACAAAGACAGTCCTATACAACGGAGACTTCAAAGTATGAAGCCAATCCAAGCTCAGCTTGACTGAGCTGAGCGAAAGATGCATTCCCTCACCCAGTGTCTTAAATTCCTCAAATTGGGCGTTCTCTTAGTGCTCGATCGCCCGACCTGAAACCCGATTGTTTCCAGTTGAACTGTATAGCGGTAACTTATGCAGTTTTGTCTCCAGAAATTGGGCTTGCTTGTGAAATAGACAGAGACGATTCAAAGACATACATGTGTTCCGTTCTGAACTGAAAGGCACTTCAGCGGCTACTGAAGGCCAAAACGAGAGACTGGAATATACTAAAATTTGCATCTTGGTCTCTGACTTGGTTCATTGTGTCACACAACAGGTAAACACTGAACCGTCATCTTTGTCTATTTGGTCAATTTTTAGACCTCGCTCGAGCATTAACCACCACTGGTACTAATCCCCGTCAAGCAAAAAAAGTACCATTAAATAAATTACTTTTCTCAACTGTCGTTTTCTGCCCTTTCAGCTCATTACTCATCCTCGGCTCTCAAGGAGAGCACCCTGATCACTAGGGGCGGAGGCTCGACCTAATGACTCTTTTTTTTTTTTTTACTGACCACGCACCCATAGGCTTATGTGAACATTGTAAGCTTGCATGCGTGTGTAAGCTCGCTCGCACATTTACAGACTGGTACGACTGCATACACCCATACAGTCAGCTCATACACTGGTCCGTACAGTCATAATGGCCTGTTGGCTAATATAGCCATCAATTCATACAGTCACCTCGTCACCAGACTCGTACAGTAGCACGCTCATATGATCAAGCGAGTACCTATAAGCTCGTATGGTCACACGTTCACAAGGCTATGTGAATACTCGAACGCTCCTTGTGGCCACACGCCTTTCCGTTAGGGGTGTTTCAAAGCCTTTTCAGACCAGTAGATTAACTCTTTGACCGCGTTTATAGTTCTTGCCCTTCTCAATAGAGCTCAAGCGTACGTCTTCGGACTGAGAAACATTACTTGGCCCACACAGACGAGTCTGAGAGGGTCACGTAACCAGTGCTCAATCTGCCATGCTTCTTAACCCCGTGTTATTATTTCTCTTGCTCGGTTACTATCAATCACCTAACCAAACACCATTTTTCCGCAAGGCAGGGACAAGTGGCCAGTAATGGCGAACGCTGATGGACAGTCCAGCAATCATCGAGTTTTCTTGGACGGCTAGGAAATGCCAATAGTGAAAGATACTTATATAAAGTCTTTCTCAGGCTCAAGATGACTGCATGCGGCCGCAAACGAATCTTGTAGAGTCTATCCCAGATGGGAACCACACCCGATCCACTCATAACACATTCCCCTTTCTCTGATTACTCTTCTATAACCGTTCCTCAAAAGTTTTCTCATTAGGCATCGGCTGATTACGAACTGACACATGGGAAGTAAAAGAGAGGAAACAATAGCGATGCTTTCCACGAGAAGTGACGGGTCATCCGCACAATCGACGGAGAGCGTAGTTAAAAATCAACCCTCATTTACAGTTGACGTCAAACATCAAAGGGAAGAGACGACACTAAGCAAAACGTTTTTGGAGCTTCGCAGACACATGTTTACTTGCTAAGGTCAAGTTGAACTCACTTAATAAAAATAACAGTATCCGTCGTAGATTACTGGTCGGATAGCTGAATCACTCTTCCCATCGTTCCTGTCTTTTACCCATTAAGCTTTACTGTGCCGCGACCCTAGCTAAGCCCATTCACTGATAACTTCGGGGCCTCAAAGCACGACGCTTTTGCTTATCCAATACCTCAAATATTCTCTTTTCAACGTAGTGTAGCACATGGTATCGACCGTCGAGTTCGCTCGTCTCTGGTCCATATCTCTCACCAGTTACCCAAACGTTTGTTCCAAGCATTCCTTTCGAATGATACGCTCCTTGCTTCATCTCCACCCATCTTGATCACAACCCTTCACAAAATACCGACTCTCCCTCGTGCATACTGT